CGGCCGGTTAGAAAGGGGTCCGGCAGACATCGTAGAGAGTCAGACCTAAACCTGCTGCTTCAGTTCTGGTAGCCGCCTCCGGCGTTCAATACAACCTCGGATACGGATCATATTCGTATTGAACAAATGTGTCGACATTCATTAGCCTGGCAACTTTCACAAGATTTATACGGACAAGCCGTAAGCAGTGAAGGCGTGCGTTCGATAAGTGGTAGCGCATTCTACCCATACTCATACACAGTGCAGTGTGAATCGGTTAGATAAACCAGGTTAAAATTATTTAGCCAGAGCGAAAATATCAGGAGTAAGTATCAACAAATGGATGACACAGAAGATTCTTTAATTAGGACGATCATGTGACTTAATTACGCGGTTCCAACGATGAAATAAGCGCAGTGATTCTTCTGTTTATTGATAAGACTTCAAAGATATTTGTTTATCTCTTTGCTGGCCTTGTCTTTCTCAGATATAGACTACTAGCAAGCTACAGTTAGAGTTCAACCTTAGACGGAATAGGTGCTATGAGAGAAAAGCAAATGGACAACTTTTTTTGACAGTGGAAAGATGGCTCTTGTTTAAACGTGACTCTGGGTCGGCTTGAGTCATCCTTTTGGGCTAAGCTGATTTTTCACACGACAGCAGCAGCAGCAGCAGCAGCAGCTGCGGATGCAGAACTATGGTGCTGCTGCTACGTCGAAGCGTCTACGATGACGGTAAAAGTGTCCTGGCATCGGTTTGGGTTTGGTCGACCACTTTCACCAGTCGGCCAAGATCGGGCCGCAAAATATTTAGACCGCCTAAAGCAGAACTAAGCAGCGACAGAGCAATAGAGGGTCGGGTTCACGACCACGAAACACGCTCTTGATCGCTGCGCCAGCAGTTCTAAAATGATACTACAACGGTACATGTAGTAGGCACAGTAGCACTATTATCTACCAAGACATATAAAATTCAGGCGAAATTTTTGCAGCTGTTCTCCGTATCGCTATATCAACAGACAGACACATTATCATAACTATATGAATATGTATATATTATGTCACGCATTGGCTCATCCGGCATTTTTGGTACTAGACAAAAGCCTGTTTTTTCTAGAACAGGGCAACAAACTTGTCACGATAGTAAAAAATGATGTGTATGTTTCGTACTTTAAGCAGAAATAAGAAATCTATTATTCAGTCTCTTTGCGCTTTACCAGTCCCTGTCGCCATCTTGTTTTTTCAGAACTGACGGTTGACGGTTGTCGTGCGGCTTTCCGACATCTTTTTTATGAAACAAACCCTTATAGGTCTCTTAAGAGGGCCTAAAATGCCTTAAAAGTGCTTACAGAAATTAACGGCCGTTTTTGGCTCGTGCAAATAGCCTCCAATAATTAGTTTCTGTTAGACGTTTTACGCCTTTGGCCGTTCTAGGTTTTTGCAATGTTTGGCATCTTTGACCTGCTGTCAGTCTAGAATTTAATTCTGCTGAAGCTTTTTTTTTTTGATTGGACCGTATTTGAGTTATACCTTAACGAGTGTATACCTACCAATACGGCTCCACCGTTTCGAACGATCGTTTCGAAAATAACTAACAAGCGGTTGAAGTCCCAGAATCATAATAGTAATTGTGGTTACATTGAATAAGCCTGATCGATAGGAGCGACACGTCTAGCGAAGGTGAAAAATCAGTTTCAATATATATATATTTTAGTTTTGATACGGTCCTATAAGTAAAGCGTAACAAAAGGTCTTCAATTTGATGGCACACACACATAAATATGTATATACGTGGAGAAAGAGCACGAAGCGTCTTAGAATTGCTCACTGGTGTGCAAAATGGCAGACCATCTTTGGGTTTTAGAATGAGATCTTTAACGCTGATACCGTGGCTGAAATTGCATAAACGGCGTCGACAACGTACACTAATAGTAGAAACACACTTAGCTGACCAATGCCCCAAGGTGACCAGTCATACAGATTTGTGAAAGCGGAGAAGACTATGATTGAATTTATCGGATCCTCTCAGTATGTCAGTGATTCCAAAACATGAATGGCCTTATTTCTGTCTATGTCCAGGGACAATACCTGCATTAGAAACTGGCCACCACGCTGCTGCTGCTGCTGCTGTTGTACCGATTGAAGTTTTTTTTCTTATACATACGTTTTCAACGGTTAGTAAAAAAAGAATCGCTAAAACATAAAGAAAAGAGGTTCTAACTTTTTTAATAAGAAAACGTGTTTATTCGACCAATTCCAGCTCACGCGCAGCTTTTCCCAGGATGACACTTTGGCGACCCACGAAACATCGAGCTGCTTTACAACGGCGATTTGGATGAGAAGGCAAAGAGACACAGAATTTTAGTGGTATTGATACAGATCATTCCGACAAAGCACGATCAGTAGTAGCTTGGACGGTCGCACTGGGCACGAACAGGTCTCCAAAGATGCCGCCCTCGCTACCATGCGATATTACATTGAATGCTTTACAGACACAGGACCTTTCAGGACAGCTGAGCTATTCACAACCTAATTATGTTATAATAGTTTATGGTCAATATATGAAATTAATGGGAAGTCAACTACGAAAAAGACTCGTATCAAATCCACAAGCGCAAAGACGGTATGAAACAGAATGAACGTTGGCTGTATACGTTGATCACAAATTAAATTGGTTTTTACCTTTGCTCCTTCTACTTAAATATAATGCCACGAATAAAATCCTTAAAAAATCCCTAAAAAATCAAACGACTTTTGCACTTAAGTTAAGTTGTAATAAAGAAAGAATAAATTACAAATGGAAGGCCGACTACTACGAAGACGACGATAGGCTGATCCGATCGTGTTCGGTTGAAGTCTGTGAACGTTATGGGGGAATTTGAAAGATTTATTATACGTGATCTAGATAAATTTTAAGTTGATCCTCGAAATATTCTACTACTAGTCATCACAATGGTCTAGGTGTTAAGACGAAAGAAAGACGATCTTTGTTCTATCTCTGCTAGTTCGATCTTGCCGTATTATTCAGATCAATTGTACCTAATAGCTGCAACAGATGTGTCTATCTAATGAAGGCTTATGCATGCACAGCGCATCAATCAATGACGAACCTAGTTACGAAACATGTTACCGATATTCGAATCGCAAGTGTCCTTTTATTTAGCTAATCGTTGGCCTTGGCATCTGGAGAAGATTGGCCTGTTACGATGCAACCTAACAATAAACAAATTTTGTTGAAGCTATTGATTAATGATGATCGGGCACGGCTAGTCGATGCAATTCGAGGTTGCCTTTCAAAACTCAATGAGAAACGTGCAACAAAGTGTGACAAATGGCCGTAGTAAAACAGAGATTAGCTATGATAACTATTTGCAGCTGCCGTGCGTAATGTGCCATTGCGTGGTAGCACGAAATGGCCTGGTCTGTCTTGGTCAGCTTGAAAATGGCAGCATTTCTCGTAGTTAAGGGGATTTTCAAGTGCTTCTAACCCTCCTAATGAGCATACACACGTCGAATATGAGTGGGCGATTTAGCCCAACCGGCCGTGGCTAACAAGATGCCTGGACACGCTTCGCTCGCTAGAGGACTCGACTTCAAGGATTTGTATTAGCGCGTTTACATGAATGCAAACAGACTTTCACTCGTTTTCCGCAAGAGGACAGACAAACATATGAACGACGACCAAAGGCAGACGCTTCGTGCGCGTACAGCATGTTGTTATTATGTTTGTATAGAGTAGCCAAACTTGCTGGCCCGCCCCGGTACCCCTTCCGCAAACAGGCCGACTCTAGGCTTAAATTAGCCCCTAGAATTACGCGGTTCTACCCGACTTCTTCGTCTAAAAATTTTCTCCTTGCATCCGCTACGCTTTTCTTAAAAAGTGAAATGTTAGTCATTGTTAGTTGTTACTGTGTGATGTGTTAAGTCATTGCTGCAAAGGCTTGTGTACTTTGGAGTAAATTATATGTTATTATACTTTTACACGCTGGATGGCTAGTTCTGGGTATTAATCAGGCCACTAACCAACTTAAGACGCTATAGTCATTTGACTTTTTCAAACTTGCACCGTTATTGATCTTTGTTATCTTTATTTTATGTAGAACGTACATGATAAATAGGGCAGACCTTCAACGTATGCTGTTCTAATCTAGTTAGATAATACGAACAGGCGATGCTGTGTCCATGTTTAACAATATTATGTAAACGCATGGGTTTAAAGGTTTCGCCTCTACTTAGACAATTTGCTAGATAGGCCGTTCGACTTCTAAAGGCTTGACAAAGGAGTATAATTCTGTGTTACCGAAAGAGAAAAAACAAATGCCGTATTACAACATATTATTCGTCCGAATCTTACTTTGCCAACATGAAGCAATAACAATAGGTAAATTTAATAAAAACAGAGTGCACAGGAACTTTTTTTTGTTAGTTGCACTTTTTTGCAATTGAAATCTTTGGTTTTTCTAGGTAATTATACTGTCAGATATTAACCAAATATCATGATAATATTATTTTATCTAGGTTGCGAATTTCTGCTTTACCACTGTCGCGGGCAATTTACGAGGGCTCCTGTAAGCGTTCTATTTTTTACTTCTTTATAGCCGATAACTTACGGCTAGCACTCTTAGACACGTAGAGGTTTGACCATCTGACTATAGCCTGACCTCCATAGACTTCAGTCATCGATTCGCAAGGGATCGTGTTAACTTTTTCTCTCTACTCTACCGAATGACGCTCATAACTAGACGAAAAACCACTGCTGATTTCTTCATTGAGTAATTGTGCACGAACGTATACAAACCTCTTTCATTTTGAGCGATAAAAGGCTCCATATGATTTGTAATCGAATGCTGACTAGTTGGGGATCGATCAGTTGCAGCTACTGGAAGCAAATGGAAAGCAAACAACGCTCTCTGGCGGAGCTGAATAAAACGACATTTAGTGAAAACGCATTGGCTGGAAAAATACGCATACAGGATAGACATTTATTAATACATTAATCACTTGTTGTTGTTGTTGTTGTTGTTGTTGTTCGGTGTTTCGCAGCCGTAATAACAACAACAACAACAGGCGGCCGCGGCAGCGGCCGACCGTAGTTCTGGAAGTAGTACTTGTTCTTATGTATGTAGGGGTCGGTAGTTTGCTTTTCTGGCTTTTAGGATATTCATTTGTCCTGACGCTACTACTCTTGTAAACGAATCCCAATGACCCCTCGTGTACACGGCAAGATTGTTACGCCATACGAACTCGCCTTTCGTCATGTAAATCGCCGTCAGTTCCTTCCTCTCGCTGCTTCCTTTCTTCTCGTTTGTCGATCTCTGAGGGCACCCGTCTTTCTGTGCGAGGTTGTAGACCTTGGAAACCGCAAAGGGTTGTCTAAGTACGCTGTCTTGCTCATTGCTCCCACATTTTCAGAACTTGTTGGTATCCTCCTTGGTAGATACGGCGTTGTGTGTGTTAAGACGAGCCTAGGAGGCCTACCTTTAACACGGCTAGGATCAAAGGTCAGCCATCAAACCGACGACCAAGTGAAGCTGCACAAGGCAATGGCCTAGCGTGTAGCTGCTGAACGACGACCATTCAGAGCAATATATGTGCAATAGTTTAATGTACACCTCGACAATCTTTCACAACAGCACCGAATACGCTATACAAGTGTACATTTCATGAATCCGTAGAATATCATGATCGTTATCATAACATCACTCCTGTCTCATTATTATGGCTAGAATCATCATCGTCATGATCATTATTGACTACTATAGAAATTAAGCCATTATCCCTTTGGAAGTTGTACGAATTGTTATGAAAAAAAAAACAAGTTTTGCAACTATTAATAGTAACCGTTATTGTTTTTCTGACGTTTAACGTTATAGCATCATTTTGGAAAAAACTTCCAGTAACATCTGTCAGTAAAATCTGCTACACTGATCTGGTACTCATACCCGTGGAGAAATCCTACGATCGATGTATTATGACAATGTCAATGCAGAGAATTGTATGAAAAAAAAAAACAACCGTTATATATGTTGTTTTCTTATGCTCTGTCTGATTGATTCTTGTCTCAGTAACGTTGCTGATCAGGTCGTTTTGATCGTTTAAGCTGCACCTTGAGTCGCTTGGCGCCGATCTGGAACCCGTTTAATGCTTTGATAGCCGCCTGTGCGTTAATAGCGTTCGAATACGATACGAAGCCGAAACACTTGGAGAGTTGTGTGTGTTTATCAATAAACACCTTAGCTGAGATCACCTCGCCGAACGGCATGAACAGCTGCACCATGTCGCTATCAGAGAAGTCCTGTAAACATCAACATGATAACAAACACAGATGCATATGCATAATTGTAGAATGATGACCACATGAGGGCCATATTGTGTTTGTTAGATTAGATATGGTTGTATGTTTACCGCGAGTGACCAGTATTTGAATGATCGATCAATACGTTAGGATAGAATACAGCTGTTTAGTATCAGCTTTTACTATTCATGGCATGGTCAGATGCTAGGCTAGGCTGATCATACTAACTGCTACACTGTTTAAAGCGGGAACGAAAGATATTCTCTGATCTTCTATGGTTAACTGTTCCAGCCATTATATCGCTATTTACTATTCACTGCCGAGGTTATTGCACTACAATGCCACATCTCTTGGCGCGATTTGAGGTGTCACAGGACGCAACCTCACAGATTATCTAGGGTCTGCAAAATCGCTCTAATGCCTTCATGCGTTAACTACAACTTTTCGGCCGTTCGATAGACCGATAGGACTGACACGCATCTGGGCGATTGCAAATTCGTGTTAACTTTCACGTTCTGTATATGGGGCATTGCCGTACTACTGGTTTCGGCCAACTTCATTCCTGCCTTAAAGATGACCCTATCTTGTGACAAAACTAGCATGTAGGATTTCTCCCCATTAAAGTTGTGGGCTAATTGCGATCAAATCCATACGAAAACGGCTCTGGTAGTGGCTTGTGCGTAAACTTGGTAACCACAATCGTAACCTGCGTAAGGGATAGATGCGCGTGCACCCCAGTGATAGAGGCTAACAGCCCGGGGTTTCATCTATTTATCACAAATTATTGTATTGATATAGGCTTGTATTAGACAACAAATGCCCGACCCGAATGAAATAACCTTAATATCAGTAATATCAGCCGAATATGCGTTCGCCAGAGACAACTAAAAGATGGACACCTATTAATTAGCCTTTATTACTGTGGAACGTCTAACTGTGACATCGAGCTAACGGTTACTTGTAAGAGTCGCCTCTTAACTTAACTCTTTAAAATTAGGCGGTGGTCCGGAAATACGTCTTACTGCTACAAAAAGATACAATCGAGAATACGCACTTAACGCTTACATACGATAAATAAAGTCCCAGAAAAAGAGTAGGCGGCACAGAGGCACGACCCGTGGCAACCGATAACGCAAGTTGGTGAAAGTTTCTAAAAATTGAATTGTGTCACTCTTTGTCTGTGTATATCTCTACGTGGACATATGTGTGGATGGGTTTGTGGCCAACGTTGTTAGCATCGCCCATTTTTTACTTTGGCCCGTCCATAGCAAACGACGCTCTTGTCTCGACTGCTACATGCAACGCGGAACGTAACAGCGACAATGCTATAAAATTTCGACGAACCCTTAACTGAGTTGTGATCGCATGGCAACAACAAAACGGCAAGGTTTTGCTGCGTCGGTACGCTGATGTTGCCATCTTCACAGTAAAGGCTGGTCGCTGGCTAGATTCCGGCATGTCTACGAAAGTGAGTATATATAATATACGTGAGTGTCAATGATGTTTTTGCTCTTAGTCATTACCTACCTGTGGTAGATGGTAGATGAACAGGTTGGAGCCTTCAGGTCCTTCAATCTGTTTGCCGGCCGGGTTGTTGAGCGATGCGAGATGGTGGGCGAGCGCAGGCGGGATCTGCTGTTGGTATTTTGATGGTAGCGACAAGGAATCTGCCACAGCGAAAAGTAGAGAAGGTGTGGAAAGCAAGTAAGCGGCAATACAACGATGGAAAGTCGAAATGTACCAACTGTGTAACGACGGTAGCAGCGAACCGTACTATCTACGGCAGTAATCTCACTGACGGTAAAAGAAAGAGCCTTAAAGAGCAACCAATCGTCTCATGTAATGCCTAAAGGTAGTCCCGGACATAAAGCTTGAAGCCTTTCATTCAACAGTATTATACGAGCGGTAGCAACAAACGAGCGGTAGCATCGCCTTCACTGGTAAAGCACAAGTAACTACTACCAATGACAGATGTGCTGGCTACTAGCTTTTGGTCTCTTCTCTTTTCTAGAAAAGAGAACTGCAACGCTCTAGTGCCCTCAAGTGCGCCATGGCTTACTGAAACCTATGCTTAGATTCGATTGAGTATGGGTCGTAGTGATCGTAATAGTGGAAATGCCACTGCACGACCGTCACGCGGAGTTCACTCAGTATGGCGTGCACTCAAGATGCAACTCGTTGTTATTGTCCGCGCCTGTGGCTGCCGCTGCTACAACGTTAGTTGCTACGGGTGGCAGTAGCATCCTACGGTGTCATAAATCTGGGCACAGACAATCTAACGTGAAACTAGAGCCTTTATTTATAAAGAGAAGGCATTGGCTTGGTACTCCCAATAGTTCTCGATAACGAGAGTCATCAGCGATAGCTGCTACGGCTAGACTTTTATTTACCGAGATGTGACGAAACCTAGGCTAAGGGCGGCCTTTCGAGCGGTATAACTCGATTAAAGCAATAGTATTTTATTATGACTGAATAGGAGACAGCAGTAATAGTAATAAAGATGATAATAATAAAAATAACAGCACTGGTTGGCAAAACGGAAACGGAATGGCATTATAATAATTTTTTTTTATATTATAAAAAAATTAGCTTCCTTCATTCACATTTTGTTATTGCAGTGTCATGAAAATCTTACGTGCAATTGTTGAGTAACTCATGATGGATAAGAAGGTAAGGATTCCATGCATACAAACCATTTTGCTGCGATGACATTGTACTGCTGGGTCGATAATGGTGAGGCTGAGGCGCTACTGGTACACCACATGTAGGCATACCGCCAAGGCTGACTGGTGGCGTGGGCTGCGTAGAACCTATCAGCTGGCCCAACAGATTGTTTACGAGCAGTTGGCCAGGCCCAGCAGGTACGCCCCGAACGTTCTGGACAGATGGACCCCCGGTCATGCCCAGCCTGCCTGTACCTAAAAGGTCGTTTGCTTTCGTTAAGCTTCAGTGCTGAAAGGTTGCTTGTGTCATGTGATCTCGCTGGTTTATCAATATCTGTATTGTAATCACATCGTGGCATGTATGAAACGGCAGCTCACAATGGATGCTGCGGCGGAAATTGCGCATAATATGTCTCTGTGTGTGCGACGTCGTGAATTGTGATCTTGCCTATTAGATACTATATTTTGTAGGCTGCCACTAAAGTTGTTAGATGTATAAGCGTAAACCCACCGATTGGATTTGGCTGCTGGACGTTTCCTGGAACCTGGTACATATTGCACGCCACCTGAAGGCAAAGACGAAGTACACGCAGATTAGAAAAGGGTAAGATAAAAGTGAGGTCAACTGCGGCAGTGTTGAGAGAGCTTCAAGCTGACGCTTTCTCAGGGCCGGTACAGCAAGCCATGGTTCGAGGGATCAGGACTGCAACTTTCGATAGCTGCAACCGCAGAGGAGAAGCCCCATCTCACAGGATTTCCCCATTGCATCCTTACCCCGCTCCAGCTGGGTCTTCGTTGCTCTTTGGGTTCTTGGATCTCTTTTGCTCCTCTTCCGCCTGTCCGTCGCTTTAACGAGTCCATCGTTGATCATGCTGACTGACCCCCCCCCCCCCCCTTCTTCTTTCTGGTAGCCTTGGCTGATTTTTACTTGCCTTTTGCTAACACACTATATCTTAGCTTTCTATGAACAACGAGAGCTCTCTCAATGTTGGCCTTCAGTCTATCGATTTGTCAGTTGGCTTATAGTACCTAACGTCGCCAGCCTAACTTTGTTTACCTCGGATGCTGAAGGTTGTGCAGCTAGGACACTCTGTTGAACGCCGAACTGCGAGTTTGCCGCCGTGCTAGCACTTAAATTGGTGACGAGACTTTGGACAATTTGCTGCTCGAGTCGATTGGCAATACCGCTGATGAGGCTCTTGGCGATATGGCCCTGCAGCTGCTTCGTAAGTGCCTCCTTTAGCTCGAGGCTCTTGGCTGCGGCCTTCAGCTTACGTTTGAGTCTTCGGCTGGCCACGTATGTGCTGACGAGACTAGCATTTCCTCCGCGGGTCCTCACGTCCTTGTCCGACGAAGGGCTACGAGGTGGTGGACTCTGTGGAGATTCGATGACCGTCATCTTGTGCTGCGTCATCTCTAGACCTTCTGTAACGCACGTGTCCGCTTCAGATTCCTACAAGGTGGCACAAAAAGAGTTCAAGGCTTACAATCAATATAAGGATGTTTTTCAACCTAATATAGTGTGCAACTCTTTACGAACGTTCTGGACGATACGAATAGTGGCACCGGTTGTACGATACTTCTCTGTATATATATTCTGCCTTCCTATACCTATTTATTGTGATACGCACACTGGCCAAGATTCTTCCAGATATGTACAGAACTTGTACATCGTGCAATCAGCCAGACATGCTCTCCCAGTGACTTATAGCAGTAAGATTCCGTAAACTAGTTTTTCTGCACGGAGATCACAGAGGTGGCCATGAGAGCCACCAAATATTATCAGAAAACAACATAAATCTCCGTCTTTCGATGCCCTAGGCTTAATTGGTCGTCATCTCAAGTTTCTAGTGGTACAGCCAATCACATATTCATTACGCGGCGACTCAGTCGTTGTTAGAAGGTTTTCTTTATTTTTTTTTTATACTCGCGCTGTTCCTATCCGGTTCCCTCTCTGGACTCGCTAGATTGTGAGTCTCTCGGTCGGTCAGAGGCTCGTGCTTTATACCTTGTGTGTGCCAGTCTCCTCGTCGGCGTCCGTTCACCGTTCACAGTGCCTAGTCAAGACTAGATCCATTCGAAAGCTTCCTCTGTAGTTTCTCCTTTGCTCCTTCTTCCTTTTGATCATTTGCGTGGTGTCAAAATGAAAGCTCAGCGAGTACACATATTGAATACACACATACTCCATCGTCGCTAATGGCGTTGTCGTTAGTGATTGGCTGTGCGTGCTTTCGACGAGTTCATCTCTGCGAGCTAGACACACGCTGTGCCCGGACAAAGAGTGGGCGGGTTGTTATGATCGAGTGTGACCGACTCCTGACACCCGCAACCGCTAGGCGCACGCTTGGTTTGCAGGCCTATGTAGGCCGGCTAGTACGATGGTTAGGGCGCTCCGCCAGAGAGCCTTGCATCGACAAAACAAAAGACCTCCGCTCGACTCGTAGAGGTTGGCACTGGTCGTTGTCAGTTCTTTGAATACTCGTTGAAGACAGGGAGGTACGCTCTTTGCTCGACATGGCGTACCTCGTCTCTCGCTAATCCTCACCACGGAAGGAGCGTGCGGTCGACATCACAAAACCCTACTCTCCTCATTGTGTCCTGGATTTTTCTTTAGTTTATCCGTTCTACCTCCTGTCTTTATCCACTGACTACGACCTACATACGGTCCTGACACACCACATAAAGTCTTCGTTGGACAGCTCTCTCTACAGCGCAGACTGCCTTGACGAATTTACAATATATATATATATATATACACATACAGAGACTAGAAGAATGCTACATATAGCAGTGGTCGAAAAGAAATCACTGGACCGCAAACGAGTTCACATCAACAAATAAACTCATAACTGATAATTACGGTTGTTCGACCTAACGACCATTTTAAGTTCATTTGTTATTTTCATAAATTTACATGTTTTTATGTATCGTAATATTAATTCTAGTATGCACGGCGCGCTTTTAAATGGAAAAGACATCTGGCAGTGGATACCGATAACCAAAAGTTTTTACTTTCACAAAAATAGGACGCGTTCCCTTTGTGGGATAGCAGAGCGCGGAACTGTGGCAAAATCAGCCTGGTCAATGAAACTATAGAATGTTTCTATAGCAAAGTTGCGACGGATACCGAGGCGTATGTTTATGGTGATTATATGACCGTAGCTTGCTATGTTAAGTAGCCAGAAAGCAGACACTGAATGGATCTGCAGATGCCTCACAAGTATATTTAATGGTCAGACGTCTGGCGATTCACTGTTTACTGCTTCGTTGGTTATTGCAACGAACAGATGGTGAATCAATTCCGTAGTTCGGCCAGTTGGCTCGCCCCGAGCAATTACGGCAGCGTCGGTAGCATTACCCCTACCTGTTATATTTCCACTCCGCGTGTTTCTCTCGATTTGAAAAATTTTACCACATACATAATTTTCTCGTAACAAGGTAACTTCACGCGGACATTATACTCGAGCTTTAGGGGCAATTATGTGAAGAGATGGACAATAGCAGCATCGATTTAGAGCAGAGTGAGTTATTCGTTCTTCGAAGTGTCGAAGGGATAAGATACTGTACGCTATGAAAAGATCAGCCTTATTGTACCCGCAACACATACAAGGTGCTTCAAATGCCTGTGCTATTTATATCTCGTTAATGATAGTAAAAGTAAAAGCATACAGCTGTTAAGGCAATAAGAAACATAGCGATCCCTTAGGTTCGGCCAACTGACCCGCCAAAATCGGCATTTTGGATCCGCTATACGAGTACTGCTACCTGGTTGTGGTCATTTTCGATCTAAAACCCTCAATTCCTTCTGTTTCAATATTCTTTCGCATCGTATCCACAGACCTTTATACATGCATGCGTCCGTGCGGGTCCATTGAGCAATGTGAAAAGTGTAGTTCATGTCGTAGACAGTTACAGACAGATGACGATAGGTTAGCATTTTCGTTCATCCCCTATTGTACCTACATATCTATGTATAAGATGTATACTTAACGCTTCTGCTTATAGACGTTTGGCAATCGGCCAATATAGGCAAGCTCGGTAGCTAGCGCAGCAGAGAAATAGGCGGCAAACGCAAAAATTACGCGAGCTTAAAAACTGTAGTAGATAGTATACTATGCCCTTATAACGTGTTCACGTAAATGCAAATGACGGTTTATTCACAGACAGCGGGGCTGGTTGGACACTCGTTGTAATAGAAGCTGATCGTAATAGTAGTAGTTAGTGGCCCTGCTAGTTCGTTCGCACTGTCAAAGTGCAGCTTGAAAATTTTATGTCGTTATAGCATCCGGAGTCCTGCAACTGACTTCATCATGATACAGCTGAGGCGCAACGCTGATAATGAACGTTTGAATGTAAGGCTATTTGGTCAGTTCGTGGCTGTGGATCTCTCGCGGACTGGACGAAAAATGGAAAAGGACGCTTTAAAATAGTGCGCGCGTGATAATCTCGCCGTGCGTAAGCGTGCGAGGGTCGACACTTGGGCACGTTGAGCTGTTACTTTCATTTCACGCTATAATGCAGTCTCATACGCATAATTCATTTGAGTAAAAAACAAAAGAGGCTACATTATCAATTAGCTACACAAAATTGCGAGGCAGGAGTGTAATTTAAAAAGCCATAAGAGACTACCAGTAGTACGCCAACAATACATGAAAGCCTGTTTGTTCGACTGTACTTTTCTGTTGGTCATGTGGTGGCGAGTTCTTTTTGTGCCGCCTAATAGCAACAGAAGATCTTATATTTATATAAGGTCACTGTATCAACACGTACGCAGAGCTGCACTGAAACCGATACGGGAATCGCAAGAAGTGATTGGGGCCTAAGCGGCAAACAACGGTGGAGCTCAAGTGAAAAATGAAGTACCGGACAAATCACACTAGAACTCCTTATCTTCGTGAAACCTCCATGGCTACGGACTAAGTGTGGTTCCTCACGCGCACAGTCACGCTATAGCTCACTTATAAATGGAGTATAGCCGACAAATCTCACGGAAGCCACGTCATTTTGTGAACTCTTTCAGTGCATTCAACGCTCACAGTGTTCGGTAGGCAGAGCAATAGCCTTTGCTCGACGGTAGCGTAGCAGCTTAGCTGCGTACTATGTTTTTGCGAACTCAACGGCAACTGGCGCTGATAACCGGCAAAAACGACAAAGGAAGTCGTCGCTCGCTATTATTAAATGTTCGGTCCTTACTCGATTATTGCTGATGACGTCTCGTCTTTTAGTCAGCAGTTGCCCTTTCCGTTAACAAGTGGCCCCATGGACAAACTGACTGTAGTGAAACGAACAGGCCGGCCGGATCGGTCCAACTACTGAAAGAACGTAACAGTAATAACATGCTTCCCTATTTGGTAAGAAAGGTGGTACGGTTTGAGGGTAAGGGGCGTCCGTCTTACGCTCGAATCGCCATGTGCAGGACGACACGGTGCCGTAGAGGTTATGTTAGCTGTCAGTCCATAATTTATAATCGAGTGGTAAATATTTAGTCAACACGAGGCTTTTTTCCATTCCCCTATTATGCAGCACTGACTGTAATTGCAGCAAAGGCGCTGACTGGCCCTTTATTTTTCGATTCAACATATAGCGCTATAGTGCTAAATTCGACGGCCTTTTATCGTTCAAGTATTCTTACTACATTTTCTCATAGCGAGACGACAAACACAATGCAATGAGTACCTAATGAAGAGCGGCTTACCTGAACTGCTAGCGACACTGCTTGAATACTTACTGCGAACGCATCGAGACGTAATACTTTTTTATGAAATTTCAACTCGATTTGAAGTTTAAAGCTAAGGGAAGTTAAAGCTAAGATACATACGTTTTCCACCTAACGCTTTGTTCGGCGAGGCCAACTGCTTATCGTATTATGGGTTTGATTACAGCGCGAGGACAAAAAGGCAAAAGTACCCAGGGGGTAGTAAGTTGTGCCTGAAGTTTAACTTTGGTATAATTACGTTGGCTATGTAACGGGCAAGTAATTGAATACATTCTCGTCACAATGATTAGCACGCTCGCTTATTGACAACAAACGATGGGTTCGAGGGGGACATTCACTCATAAATCATCTGTTTAGTACCATGTACTAGATGCGTAAGATTTATTTCGTCCTCACCTTTCGCAAAGGTAAATCGGGGAGGCCTAAAGTTAAAGAAGCGACCACTATATCTGATGCGTTGCGTCGCTGAGTACCGGACTTGGTCCGTCTTACACTTTTAAGAAAAAGGAGAGAAAAAAGGGACAGAAAGAGAGAGAGAGAGAGAGAGATGAAAACAGCCATACAGGGAGAAATAGAGCTTTAGTGGTATCGAAGTAGTGGTGACAGGGATATCTCGAGGCAAGAAGCATTATGGCACCTTGGTTAGCTTGACGGCATCAAATGAGCAATCGACAACAACGTAAGACGCTGTCATCACCCTCGTTTCTGCGACTCAATCTTTCTCGATAATCTCCGTCATCCCTTCTAAGCGCATACATATATTTGTGAGACCCCCTTACTTTTGCAGGACTTTCGCTTGAGGGTAAGGAGGTGAAAAGGATAAAAAAATTCAGGACGAGAAACCCTTTGGTTTGCCGGTTTATTCCGGAAGCCCTTTCTGGAAACTTTTCTCCTTCTTGTAACCCGGCCTTACGCTGCCACTACTTGCTACCGGGTACGTGCCTACGTACCGCCGCAGCATGTACGTAAAAGCTACCTACGCAGCCTGTCCTGTAGGGGATAGCACCATCCACCTTCGTTAAAGTCGCATTGCGGGTCTGTCCGTCCTTCTCATCTTTTCTGCCGGCTCGTGTCTTTGCTGCCTGTTCGGATGACTGTCCCTTTGTCTCTCCTGACGAAGTGGAGTAGATTCCGTTTTCGAAAGAGCTACCTGCCAGCAAGGCAGCCCCGCGTCTTTCCAACTCATTCCTGGACGCGATGTGACTAGTGTAGAGCTTTACTTTTTGTCGTTTTGTACTCCGCGTTCAGCAGATCGGAGAGGGATTACCTTATCTATGAGGGAAAAGAAAACACGAAGAAAATGCTACCTTTATGAAACTTCAGAACTTGGCCTAGAGGCTGTTTCTTGTTAGACTTATTGGTAGAAGTAGACGTACGTGTCTAGCAATTGTTCGAACATCCTCTGTCTACTGTCGCCTTTATATTCCCATACAGAATTCTGGTGCTTCAACCAGCTCCTATTCAGTTAGAAAAATTCTGTTCGATTCTCAAAACACATCGCATATGGGGTTAATGAGTACATTGCGAAGGCAACTCAGCTTTAAGCAATAGTTATTCGATCTTGTTTTTTTTTTAGAGTTTTAATATCATTTTTAAGCAGAAAGGTCATCATACTCTGTATAGCCGGGTTAAACAGATTCGCGTTTCTTAGGCATTACAGATTTACTTTGATGAATTAATTTATATTTCAACCTCTTGTTTTGATTGGAACCGTATTTTTTGTAAGTATTTAATTTTACGTCCATAGTTCTACTGGAAAGTGTACCGCAAGCCTCAATGCTTTAAATTAACCTGACCCAGCGAATTATGCCCTCTGCAGCAACTAATGTCAGATTGTGATCTAGGCTTAAGCGGCGATAATTGGGGTCTGTCTTGAACGGCCCAGCCCTTCTTATTCTACAAATCCTTTTTGGTAATCTTGCCTAATATCCGATGTCCTATTTGCAGCGCGTTGTTGTAACAGCGCATCCCGGTCACGCTAAGGGCGGTTTATACCTACTATTTTGTCGTAGGAGTATAGCGTTGTACTCCTTTCTGAGATCTAAGCATTCAGGGTTGCAACAAACCAAATGAAGCCATTTAGCCTTTTAGACTGCATGGCTTTTGCACTGAAAAGATCTTTTCTGGTGATTTATCCTCGCTGGGAGGCAAACTTTTTTAGTCCTAATGTTGCCACGGGCGTTGGCATCGGTTAACTGAGTCACCGTTTGAGTGGGCGCATCTTCGAGAGACGAAAGCACCGGATAGCTCGTCGACATCGTTGCCATCGTCTAGCTCTTACAAGAGCTTGGAAAGCCTACCGGGCATTGGCCAGGACATTTTACAGTCGCTATAGTAGTACTCTGTAGAGGTATATACGTGATCCAGAATAAAAGTAGTCCAGTGCTATCCAATATATATATATATATATATAATGTCTGTGTGTGAAGGGGGATGTTTGTGTACACGTGCATTTGCGTATTCTGCCATCGTTAGCCCTGTTCGACAGGCTCGCTAGCATCGCGGTCTATATGCTAAGCACGTATTCAGATGCCTGCGACAAAACGAAGAGGCTGTCTTATCGACAGGTCCTATATGTATCTTGAAGGGGTTCTAACTCGGCACACTGTCACGCAGATACGCCAGTGCTATGGTCCATCAGTAGCCCGGCAATTCCCAGACTTTTTACAGCACAGCTATAGCACAACTGTTCAACAGGTTCATCAAAGGAAGATTCAGCGAAACAGAAAAAAACGCGCTTTGTTCTGTTCTTTTTGTCTCCACTTTGCGTAGCAGCAGCTTCGGTACGGGGTTAAGCAGTGGAACATAGCAGTCCTGGTCGATCAAGGGACAGTCGAACGAACGACGACAAAAGAAAACAGCGTGCTACGGTAAAAAGAGGAAACGAAGAAGGTCGGCCAGTGCTCAGGGAAGACAGGCGGCGGAAAGACGACCTATGTGGACGTTTAGCCGGCTAGCTTTCAGGCGGACACGGGAGTCAGAGAGCTGGCTGCCTTCCGGAGGAAGAGCTAGGACAATGGAATCAACATTGAGACCGACGCGAACTATGAGTAAACCAAAACCAACGGCAGCAGGCGGGCAAAACGGGGCTTTTTAGCTGTTGGGATGAATATACGCGAGAAAAACGAAATACGGGTCCATTCACACTAACGACTAAACAGTGACGCGCACAGCCGGAGAGATCCAAGAAAAAGGCCAAAGAAAAAAGCCCGATCGAACAACAGAATATAGGACAAGAACGAGACTGATTTTGATTACATGGGAATCGGTGTTCGAGACAACCGGGTCGAAACGTAGTCCTTATCCCTTGAATCTCCTGCTTTGATGCTTCTCCTTTTTTTATAAGTAGCGTAACAATAGCACAACGGACGTTGTTTGTAATTGCTTTGATGTGACTCGGAAGAACATCGACGACAAGCTGAACAAAGACGTTGAAATAAGATAAATCTACAGAAAAGGAGAAATTTGAATCTGGCGCATCTTCAAAAAATAAAGAACTCTAACTTTAAGAGCCGGGAATATATTCTGTTCGGTACATAAGGCTTTGAACGATAGACTTGCTAATCGAAACTTAATTGGCTCCATAAGGTTCCATGGCATGCCCACATACATAAAGTAGGCAATATAGTAATATTGCATGTAACCTGGAGACCAGTATGCAAATTAATATTATTACATAGTTTGAAACATGGGTTTTTGTCTAGAGGTCTTTGTTTCCATAACAAAGAAAGCGACTACACGAGTCGAGCAAGAACATATGCAAGCAAACCTACGTCAAATTTGTTGCGTACTGCTAAGGTCAACTAATAAGTTGGATTACTGTCAGTTATTAGAATCTAAACTAATACTCTTTGATACTCAGGTCTTAGTGATGAGTCGTGTGCTTCGGGTGCGTTACTCGTGCAAGTTTTGCGAGGTAAGTTAAGTTCCTTCAGTCTCGCAGCTATATCTCTATATAAACGAAGAACAGAATTGTTTTTTTCCGGATACACATGACAGCTTTGCACACATTGGCGTAACAATTAAACCTAAAAGGTAAATC